TCTTCAGTGCTTGGGAGATGTCAGTGCCTTCTGATCCCAAAAGGAGGAACTCACCTTGCTCTATAATACAGGTGAGGTGTGAGCTCTCCTGTGTCTCTGTGGGCCCTTTTGGGATTTTTCCCACTTGAGACCACGAGGCCACCAAGTGTCAAGACCCCCATGTCCTCCACCTGAAAGTGGTGGTACCCAAACATCGTGAGGTACCTCACTACCCCTTTTACTGGGATTATGGAGCAGGAGATGGGATTAGGAAACCCACCACCCCCAAAGACGCAGGAGCCCTTGGGCACAAGGAGTTTTCTGCTGTGTTAGTGCTGCCAAGAATCCCTGCAGCTTGGTGGGTGATGGCTTTCCTAATAATTCCTAATAAATACAAACCAGGAGGATGAATAATGCACAGCAATAACTCTACTGCAAACATTAGCATCCCACTCCTGGTGATAAGACATCGCTCTCTTTCAAGTCCCTTAAAATGCTTTGCATGTTTCCAGGACTCTTGTTGGAAAAATTCTGCAAGGCATCAGTTTCTGTTTGTTTTCCTTTAAACTACTTTTAAATTCCTATTTGCCGAGTTTGCCGAGCACATAGCGAGCTTCACGGGAGGAAAAGGAGATGAGTGGAGCCGAGCCCTTAATGGAAAATAAATGCGAATCAAAATCCAGCCCAAACCCTGTAATCTCTGCCCCACACAAGAAAGCTCCACTTCAAGGAATAAAAGTCAGAAAAAATAGGTTGGATTTAATTGCTTTGGATGCTGTGGTACGGCAGAAGTGTGAGAAGGCGATAAAAGCTGCAATTTAAAGCTCAGCAGCGGCGGGTTGGAAACGCCGGAGCTGGTGTGCAGGGAGATGGATACTTTATCCCTGGCACATCTCTGCTGAGTTAAGATAAATGTTGAGCTATTAAGTTCCTGAGAGCATTAAGAGGCTGGGAGAAGGTCACGTACTGCTTCCTCTGTTTTGGCTTTGCCTCTGCTCTGCGCTGCTTCCTTTGCTGAGCTGGAAGGAGGATTTCTTTCTCCTCTGAGATTCTCCCAAATGAGCCCCCCAAAAATGCAGGGGAGCTCAGACAGCCCAGATTAGGGCTCAGGGGATTGCTTCCTCCTATAAACACTCACAAAATCCTGGCTGGAGCCAGCTGTGCCATGTGGACAGAAGTGGGGTAACAGCTGGGATCTGTCTGTCCCTGGTAGGATGCTTTTGAAGGGTTTTAAAACTCCTGTTCACTTTCTCTGAACATCTCCTGGCAGAGTTGTGATGGTCAATATGGTCCAGCCAGGTGGAAACAGAGTGTGAAGTGCCAACAGCATCCAAAAAACCTTTGGGTATCCCCATTTCCTTGCTGTCTTGTCCCCTGAGGTGGAAGGAGGCAGAACAGTGGGGAAATAGGACAAGAGGAAGCAATAGGGTGAGAGGAAACTGCCTCAAGTTGCAGCAGGAAGGTTTAGGCTGAAAATTATGACAAATTTCTTCACCAAGAGGGTTGTTCATCCCTGGCACAGCTGCCCAGGGAAGTGGTGGAGTCCCCATCCCTGAAGGGAATTAAGAGTCATGTACATGTGGCACTTGGGGACATGGGCTAGTGGTGACCTTGGCAGTGCTGGGTTCATGGTTGGACTTGAGGGTTTTGGAGGGCTTTTCCAACTAAATTGGTTCTGGGGCTCTAAGATTCCATGGAAAATGCATACAGGCCAAAAGCTGTGCTCTGTCTCCCTGCTCAAATCCTGATTTCTCTGTCCTTGGCAGGTTCTTTATATGGGAGGCCAGATAAAAGACTGAAGTGAGGAAGGACAGAGGAGGGGAAGAAGATGAATCTCCTGCATTCATTATTCTGTATGCAAAGAACATCAAAAGCACTAATGGAAAAGCCTTTTTATATTTTTCATCAAAGCAGTGGTTCAGATTTGGCAGGCTGAGTTTGGATTGGTGAAATATTTATGAATGGAGCAGCTGTGGGGCACTGCTTTAGGAGGACAGCGTCCCCCACTCTCTCCTTCCCTCCTCTAAATACGTTTTTCCACTTGGTCCTTTTTTCTCCCTCTCTATTTTAGCTGTGTTTCTCCTATTAGAGGAATTTGTAGATGATTCAGGACTGAGTTTGCACGCTGCAGGTAGTAAGATCTATTTATTTTTTGCTTCACTTAAGTCAGGAGAAAAGAGGGGAAAGGGATAAACCAAACCTTAGGGGTGGGTGGGGAACATCAATGGAGGTTGTTCCCTGTTTTTTCTCTGCTGCTGTTTCCATGTTAAACCTGAAAACCTTTTGAGCTATTTCTATAGCTAATAATTCATCATGGTTTGTTTTTTTTTCCTGCTAAGAAAGACAATTGCACTGACCCAAATGAGTTTAATCTTTTATTCTTCCCTAGTAATTACACCCATCCACATGTAGGGAGCGTGAAATTATTTATGAAGGTGTTTCAATCCCAGTTTATTAACTCCTAATCTAGATTTATTATTATTCTTTCTAATTTTGCATCATCACTTGGTGAGTAAGGTGGTTCAGAAATCACAGAAGAGCTGATACTCAGTTTGTATTGAAATATCAGGTTGTTAGAAGTATTAAGTTCACAGAGGGAAATCTGGAGCAGTCCTGTTCATCCAAGGGGGTGGGAGAGCAGCAGTTGGGATTGGTGTAAACCAATGTGTCCATCTCACAGGCAGTGATACCCTCAGTTTTATTTAATAAAAATAAATTGCTTTTCCTTCCAGCTTTGTCCAGAAGATGGTAAAGCCAGTGCTGTTATAAACCTGTGTTTATCACAGTTGCACTGTCACTGCCCTTCCCTCCTGGAGATGGTGGGCAGGTGTCACCAGGGATGCTCAGTTTGGGATGCAGGGTGCTGAGGTGGAGTGGTGGCAAGGAGCTGCTGTGGCTTTGAGGAGAATATGGGAATTCTGGAGCACCTCCAGTGACTCTGTGAGTGTGCAATGTGTGAGGAGGAACACAGCTATTTAAAATTTAAAGCTGCATTTCCATCAGGGTATTGTGTTCTTTAAATATAGATCCTTTGAAATGTGATAACTTTGGTCATTGAAGGATAGTAACAGTAATTGTATAAATATTTATGTCATGTAAAACAGCACAAATCAGCGGTGCAGTGCTGGGATAGCTCTCTGCAATTTTGGAAAGTTGGCTTGAAATCTCATGTTGTGACCAGATGTGTAGGTGGATCAGCCCATAAAAATAGGAACCATTGTCTGAGCTCACTTCTATTTTAAAAAATGCATTAATGCACTTGAAGGGTGTGAAGTTCCAAGTCTGCAGTTTATGAATAAGAGCTGCAGACTGAGGTTTACAAGGGGGGACAATGCTCCCCAGTATTCAGAGTGGGCACCTGAAGCGTTCTGTGGGTGGTGGGAAGCCCTGCCTGCTGTCCGGAGGTGCCATGAAGCCCCATCTCTGCATGGCAAACAGAGGAAATAATGGCACTTTGTGTTTGGTTGCTCTTTTAAGGTTTCTTGTTTCTTTTCTGTTGTATCCTAATATTACAAAGCCTCCTAGAAGACTTTCTTGTTCTGTCCTCGTGTTGATTAATCATCTGGTCAAACACCAGATCACTTGCCCCAAGTCTTCTTTGTTAGCATGAATTCTCCATTGAGGGGCCCTGTCTGGTCTCAGTGACCATCAGACCTGTTTGGTTGCTTCAGTCATGGTAAAAAATATTCTTGGTGATGCTTTCCCAGGTATGTGGTACCAAAGGGGGGAGCAGGGCTGGTCATCCCATTCCCAACCTCTCCTGGTGTCAGCAGTGCCAGGTGGGAGCTGTCCCTCGTGTCACCACCATGGTCATGGAGAGGAGAATCCTTCCCCCACCAAGCCAGCAATGGCTGGTGCTTAATGAAGATGTAAAACCTGGTGCTCTCAGCACGGCATCGACTCTCCAGTCCCAACACGGCTTGGGCGGGAGGGAGCAGGGCTGTTAATCCTCCTGACATCCCCTTTGAATACCGTCATATTTCAGCCCTGTTAAGCTGTTGGGCTGTTGTTTACGGGCTGCGTGCTGAAAGGAAGAGCTGTGCTGAGCCTGCAAAATGCTGCTTCACTTCTGGAGTGCTGCTCCTTACACCACAGCAGCCCAATCCCAAATCCTGCCCTGTGCTCCAGTGGTTGCCCCATGCAGATTCTCACACGGTCAAGCATCACCTGCTGTTTGGAAATAATCACAGCTTCACACAGATCTGCTTGCTTGAGGGAAATACCAGTTTGTCAGGGGTAACCCTGTTTCCCCTTTCTTTTTGGGCTGAAAAAGCCAAGCCAACATGTTCTGTGCCTTCTTTCTCCCAGCCGTTGTCTCGCGCTGTGTCCTTCACAGACAGATTGATTGAATTTGATTTTCTGTGGAGTCGTGGGTTGGCGTGTTCATTAACCTGCAAGCTGCTCTTCTCCCTACCCTTGCACCCTTTGCATCCATAGCATCTTCCACAGCCTGTGCTTTATTAGTCAGGTTTTATTTCTTCCAGTTGGTATTCCAAACCCCAGGGCTTTCTCACGTCCATCTTGCTTGCACATGTTTTCCTTAGTCTGTGGGGAGGAAAAATACCTGTCTGCTGGTCTCTGCCATGTCTCAGTGCCAGCTTGGACATCTGTGCCAGGGAAAGCGGGGCATGATGCTGCTGGAAGGGGTAGGTGGAAGGTGCTGCATGGTCAGTTGTGTTACCAGGACAAGAGCTGCATTTAGCTCAAAGCCAGACTTTTCAGCTGGGACCTAAGGACCCCACTGACAGGGTCTGGAGTCACCAAGCTGCAGCCACATTCAGGTCCTATTTTTGTCAAGAGTTTTGCAGTGAGTTTCAGATACTGCCCATGTGAAAGGTGGGAGAGATGAATCCCAGCCATGGCAAAGTCCTGCCCGGTGAATTTGCAGGTACCTCCCCAGGCTGCAGCTCGAGCTGCTGACAGGAGATGCTGGCAGTGATTTGTGGGGCAGGGAGTTTTCCTCCTTCCCCCTGCACAGTCTGTAATTCCCTGGTATTATAACATGTCATTTTTCTAGCATACCTGAGGAGCCAGGAAATAATGTCTGAGCCTAGAGGGACAGCAACGATGGAACCTCCAAAGAGGCGAGAGATGGAGAGATTAGAGCAAGAAACGAAGGTTGTAATTTATTTCTCTTTTCCATCCCTCTTAGCCTGAAAAAGTACCCACATTCCTGGCAATCCCTTTATTTTACAGCTTTGAGCTTGTGTTTTTTTTTTAAAAGCCAGCGGATGCTGCCAGTTCCCATCACCTAATCAAAGCTGCTCCGTGGAAGGGCCGCCTCGTTATTACATCCCATTATAGCCTCCGGCAGCGGCTGTACTTCATAACCGCCCAGGAAAGCTGACAGGTAACCAATGAGATGCATATTCCAGTGACAACCTCCTGCCCCCCAGGGAGCTGGAACCCTCCTCAGCACCAGAGCTGGGCTCATTGTGGCTGGGTGCTTCTGGGGAGCAGCTGGGACCATTGTCTGCCCGGCCATGGAGCTGCCAGGTTTGCTCTTTTGTTCCCTTCTAATCCCATTGTCCGTGGGGTAGGGATTGCCATGGAATGCCTGTGTGTGTGGTGGCTTGATGGAAAAGGGAAGAAGACTCAGCCAGAGATGGGGGAATGGCTGAGCCAGAGAGGTGGAGATGGGGTGGGGGAGCTGGGAGTCTGGGGAGGAATAGTGGGGGGAAATAATGGGCTAAATAATTTTATCCTTGCAGGTTGGTATTGCACCTTAGCATGGGATGATAGAGTATTAATTCCTACTTCATTTCACTGCTCAGAGAGTAATGAGCCCACCTTTGAATCAATATAACCCAGTGCATGCCAAGCCTTGGGCACCAAATGAAGAGGAATTGTGCTGATTTTGAATCAGTGTCTTCCCTCTGTCGCTCCCTGTGCTTGTTGGTTGTGTTTTATTGCTTGTCATGAATTATGGAGAAACTGAAATACTTGGATGTTTTATATTTTTGGGGCTCATGTCAGGGGCTGGGTGGGAGTGTCAGTCTGGATGTAGAGGGATGAGGAATAAACTGGGATTGGAAGGGATTTTGGAGTTGGCTGGAGTGGAGTGTGGCAGCTGTGATAACTCGGTGGATTTGAGTTATATTTTGGTTTATTACTGAGTTACTTGTGGGTACTTATTTTCTTCTATTGCAAAAATCCAAGCAATGCTGAGCATGGCTGGTTCTGGTCTGGAGGCAGGTGCTGGTACATCCAAGGATGGGGATGCAGCAGAGAGCTGGGAGCAGTGTGTCTGTCCATCCAGGCACGTGGGCCTGGGGGGCAAGATTGGCTGTGGCTTCTCATTCTGCAAGGAGTGGAGATGTCATTATAGCAGCCCAAATGATTGTTAATGAGCACTGGGCAGCCTCAGATGAGACCTGTTCATCTGTCTTGGGTGATTTTGAGCATCCTTTGGTCTGTGTGGAGGGCTGGTAGTGTGATCTCAGTGCTGTAAACTGGATGTGTGGACAAGGGGAGTCTTTCTGCCATAGAAGTGAATTTTGCCTTCTCTGTCAGCCTCTGTCTCTGGTGGATATGGCAGCCAGAGGGATTCCAGGAGCACATTTTACTCAACAGAGTTTGCCTTCAAATCCTCCAGCTCCTGAATGTGACAGCTGCTAAATCACCTGTTATTATGCAGAGAACAAAGCTGTCCTCCAGGAACAAAGAAAGGAGAATGGTCTGTGACTGGGGGGAAGGCAGAGCACAGCTGTGGGGAGGAGATGAAGCCAAGAGACACCAGCAAAGCTGCCAGGACTCAGTGGATAGACAAACCTCCCAGTGTGGTAAATAAAACCCCAGTTGATGGTTGAAATAATGGCTGGGTCCATCAGTGCTGCTCCAAACATTGCCTGACCATGTGCTGCTGCATCTAAAGACCAAGGAAGAGCTGCAGCCAGCCTTGGATGCAATTGCTCAGTTTCTTCAACACCACCATGTGTGGTTGTAAGGAAAAAAGGGGCTTAGACCTGGGTTTCCAGCTGTTGTGCCTGGGTTTGCTGAGCTGCCCTCACGGGCTGTCCTTCAGGGCTTTGCTCACAGCCTCAGCTCTCGGCAAAATGCCGCAGACAAAACCCTGACACTGATTTCCCCCAGCAGCGTGTTCAGTACCTGAGGCTTCCCTGCCAGCTCAGCCAGCAAAGCAAGAGCTGCCTTTTGATGCTGTGCAGTTAATCCCTGCTCCCAGGCTGGCACAGCTGCTGGACACGAGCACAGGGCCGTGCAGCCAGCAGGGCAGCGCGAGAGCCGCTCGAGGCCACAGCAGGGCTCGAGGCCTCCTCTCTCACTTCTGCAAGTGCTATCTAAATATTATCAATAATTAAGGGCTCAAGCTGGGCTGGATGTGCTTCCTGGGGGCTGCCACCGTGCACTTAAGCGACTGCACCCAAGCTGGCAGATGCCACCTCTCTGCTTGATGGCCTTGGCCGTCGCCGGCAGCGGCGCGCGGGCCGAGAGGAGCGGCGGTGGCAGCGGGAGCCCTCCTCAATATTTAAACACTATTGATGGGCAAGTCGGGCTGGGATGGTACAAAACAGAAGTGTCTAGACATAGCAGAAAGCAGGCTGCTTTCCCTCGGTGCAGGAAGTCCAGCAGGAGAAAACAAGCTGCTTTATTAGTTCTTCCTTTCTTTTTTAATTAAAAATGTTGTGGGTTTGCTGTTGATGCTGGGGGAAGAGCATCATTGTGCAGGGAAACCTGGCTGGTGACTCTAGAGACCTTCAAATCTCCATCTTCCCCCATCCTAGCAGCACTGGGACATCTTCCCACTGTGTCCAAAGATAGAGTGAGTAGCACTTCACATTTTGCAGTTTTGTCAGGAATAATTAACTGAGAAGTAGGAGGAAGACTTGCGAAATAACTCTGGAAACTGAACTCTTCAAGGGATTAAATGATTTGATGGAAAGAGAGAATCATTAGTCTGGAATAAAAATAAACGGCTCTTCCTGTAAATCTACATGTCAGGGGAAAAGGCAGATTGTAAATTCTTCTGCCACTACTAGAGCAGACAGTGTTCTGAAATAAAGCTCTTGCAAGGGAAATACTGTTTGTGACCACTGTAATTTGGATTATATATGTTAGAGAAGAGAGGGAGGCAGCTGCTGAAAGCCTGGTCTAAAAGTCACCGCTGAGCATTCTCTGAAGAAGAGGCTTTTTAAAGTTGCTGTAAAACATAAGGATAAAAGCAATTGAGCTCATTTTTCTCCAAGGACCATAACATCCTTTAAGGCTTAATTCTGCTTAATATTTTGTCTGTCCTCTCTGGGCTGTGTTGTTATGTTTTAATCTGTTGCAGTGCAGTTTGGTGAATTCAGAGACATCTTGAGATAAATTTCCTTTCTGTTGCTGGGTTGTTTATTTCGTGCAAGAGCAAGAGGCAGGATTTTAGTGTAAATATTAAATAACGAGTGGTGTCCTGCTTGGGTGACTCCTGCCTGCCCCGAGTGGCCCTTGGCTTTGATTACCTGCTCAGTTATCCTGCTTTATTCCTTTCTTCTGTCCCCCTGTTCAGATGGTGCTTGACTCTCTGTGCTATCAGGGCAGGGAAATGAATAAATTTTATGTATCTGTCTCTGCTGTCAATATTTGTGTCAGGAAAGCACTTGTGGCATTTCTGAGAGAAGTCACCGTCTCTCTTCACTGACCTTTTATTTCTCCTGTGGATGGAGAGTTTCTTCTCAAATATCCTCTGCAATCTCTGTTTCAGCTGCTGCTTACTCTCTTATCACTTTTAATATACTCACTATTAATCTCCCCACTTTGCATCCACAAGAGCCTCCCTGCTCTTTAACCCTTGAGGGGCTGCCCATGGTTCCTCTTGGGGATGCTAACAGCCCACTCTGGGCACTTCTGCTGCAGGGCATCATTAACAGAATATTCATTTATTTTAAAACTGTTTTGCTGCCTGACTGCACTTGTCTTGGAGCAAAATGTGTCCTGCCTGAGAGCACCTCACAGCCTGGAGAGAGGCGAGAGGACACCCCCTGCTTCCCACTGATGGAGCATCTTGCTCATCTCCAAGTCACTTGGAGCCACTGAAGCGACACAAAATTGCCCTGGGATCCATTTCCAGGCTGGGATGATGGAGTGACTGGAGCAGGACCACGCTGTCTGCGCACGTGTGTTCCGTGCAGTTGTCCCCACAGCCCTGCAGACCCAGTGGCACTGCTGCCCTGGAGCCTAGTGGGCCATGCAGAGCTGTGTCCTTAACTTTCAGAGCAGGAATTTCCTTGTAGATGTTTTTGTTTCCTTTCCTGGCCTTTTTTTTTCTCAATTATTTTATTCTGTTTATCTCCACCCTTCAGTACCAAGCTGTAGCTTCTTTGTAAACACTGAAGAAAGAAGGCATGAGAGATTATACACAATGTTTTTGGCAGAGAAATGTTTGAGGTCACCTTTGGTTTGGCTTTTTTTCTTCAGGAAGAAAGAGAAATTATTGGCTTTTCATTGAAATTTTAAGGCAGTAAGGGTTGGTTACTTGCTGTGGTGGCCATCCACAGGAACCAAGTTTTCCTGCATCTGGGATGGCCCTTTCTGCCCTCTGCATGCCACACATTCCTCGTGTCCAGATGAGATGGGGTCTGGGAAGTCTCATTAATTCCTCCTGACCCCCCTGGCTTGGTGCCACTTTCCCAATATTTCTGACCTCGGAAAATTCCCCTTTTCTCTCTGATTCCTCTGTTCAGCTTTCAGTTTAGGAGGAGATGTCCTGACACAGGGCAAAGGGAATAACTTTCTTGACTTAAATGGAATTTGAGGAGCTGACAGGGAGTTTCCTGGGCTGCTGATGGGAACAGATCACTCTCTTCCCATTCAGAATCCTGATTAAACCCACCCCCACTGACCACTGCAAACTTCTTTTAGAGGGCAGTGTCCGCTCTGGGTTTTTGTGGGCAGCACTTCAGGTCGTTGAGGTGACACAGTGGAGCCCACTGAGCAGATAACCACCAAAAGGAACAATGATTTGTCCTTGAAAAGCTCCGTGGGCGGTTCGTGAGGAAAGGGAAGATGCATTGACTTGGACAGCTACTTATAGAAAACAGATGTGCAAGTTAAGGAACACAAGTGATAAATCTGAGCCCATATGGTGGCTCTCTCACAAGCATTTACAGTCTCAGCAGCCACGAGGGCTACTCAGCTCCTCTTCTGAGAGAAGAATTTGTAATATCTTCTTAAACACGAGGATGGGTTGGTTTGTGTGGGTGTCCCCCAAGCTCCACTTTTGTTGGAGACCCTTCAGATGTTCCCTGTGTGCTGGGTGGGGAAGGAGGAGCAGGAATGGAAATCACTGAGACAGGTTTATGTATTTTCCTTGCAAAATGCCAGGACTGAAGGCACAAACAAGTGCAGGACCTG